TATGGCATTGTGCCTAATTACATTCCCCAGGCCTGAGATGACTGTTGTGGTCTCAGCTGACACTAATGTGGCATGGACCTACACAATAACGTAATAATGCATCTGGAGGGACCCAAGTTTAAAGATTCTAAATAATGTAAGCAGCACATTATTAATCACGGCTGGGAGCGTGCCGAGAAGACAGAGCACCTGCAATGTGTGCATTTTCAAATAATCCTGATGAAACATTTAGTGTCCATCTGTGTGGGCGTTTCGATCCATACACACATCTCACACAGCGGCGACGTGTTACTTTACATTTTCTCATACAGCTGTCAGTAATGGGATACCCAGCATCAGTTAGCATCTGCACATTGGAGGTGTTCAGATTATAAAAGAAATCCTGGCTCGTGTTTGTTAAAAATGGAAGATAAAAAAATCAGCTTGTCTGTCGGTGACAGTGGATGAAATGCAAAGAGTTGTAAATCAGATGGAGATCACAGCATCCAGACTGAGGCTGTGAATCTCTGTTGCCTGGTGTGATGTGGGCGAAGGAATGAGCCAACCAGATCCAAGGCATAACCTGTTGGTTCACAGCTCTTCTGTGGTCAAAGCCTGAACGATGGACACTGTTTTTGGCCATGTGTGCTTGCATTATCATTCAGCAATTACGTCCAGTACTTGTTAGGCTGTACGCATGCAATCGGCTCCAATGTTTGGAAGCAAATCGCCCTTTCAAAGCTCAAGGGCCATAGCATTATTTAGCCTGGTCTGATGCTGTGATGAATTAGTGGGTTTCTGCGAGTGTGCTCTGAATTCCATTATGCTAATATCAACAGACGGCAAATCTGCGAGGAGCGTCGACTGAGTTGCATTTCTATTCACGATGGTTATTTCTGCTCAGTGGAACGTATTGTAGTTCTTAACCACCTGTGTACATGGCCTAACAAAGCATTCTGAGGGTGCTTTGTTGGCTGTGACCAAATTAATACGCTGTAATAAGAATTGGCGTACTCGCTGACACGAATTAAAGCAGCGCACACAGTACCCGGTGACCCGCGGGCCCCTATCGTCCCCGGGCTAAAAGCTGATTGAGACCAACAGCAAAGGGGATCAAAAAAAGTTTTGCTTCCGTTTCAAATCAACCTGAGTTTCAGCCCACACACTCACACTCACACTCACACACACACACACACACATACACACACACACACACACACACACACACACACACACACACGCACAGGTCATGCTTCAGTGGTCTGAAAAATTACAGGATACCACCCTTTCCAATTTCACCAGCGCCGGACCAGACTGTTGCAGGTTTCTGAAACAATTACCCCAAGGGACGCAGAGCAACCTTGTTTATAGCTCATTGAGCACCTACAGCTGCGATCTAGCACCAGGTAATTACAACATCGTTATCTCCTCCTAAATCTTTCACCAACACTGCTGTCGCAAGGAAGCTGCCTTTGGCGCCGTTGTTTGCCATTTGGGCATTGATCAAAACAAACAGCATTAGTATGCCCGGGCATCTCTTGGAAGGGCTAATGTTCGCTCTCCAGGTGTCTGAACCTGCTCACCCGCAGACCATCAGTCACACTAACACACATCTGCCACACAGGTTCAAGGCACTCCATCACAAAAAAAGTGTCCGGTCTCTCTCCTTGAATGTCCCGACCCCCTTGCAGGGGGACAAACAAATCTTCTGATTTGCCTCTAATCTGTAGTCCTCTCTCACTGTGGGCTGACATCCACCCACATCAAGGAGAAACGTTCCACAGGGGGGCTATCCATTAGCGCAGCATCCTGCCTCCACCGTGGTGTGATGGGGACAGAGCAAAGGGACATGCTCCAATTAGAGAGCAAGACGTGGGGACTTTGCCCCTGACATGTCCCTGCTGCTCCACAAAAAGAAGTTTGAACACACCTTTCCTTTTATTTTTCATTATTTTGAACAGAGGGACAGCTTTCCTTCATTTTGGCTGCTGCAGGCTCCTGCTGCATCTCGAGAAACCAAACCATTTCACATCACGCTGGTGCTTGTCATGTGCTTGCCTGGGAGTGATCACTTATGTGCACATGAACAACAGGTCAAGCCTGTGTGTGTGTGTGTGTGTGTGTGTGTGTGTGTGTGTGTGTGTGTGTGTGTGTGTGTGTGTGTGTGTGTGTGTGTGTGTGTGTGTGTGTGTGTGTGTGTGTGTGTGTGTGTGTGTGTGTGTGTGTGTGTGTGTGTGTGTGTGTGTGTGTGTGTGTGTGTGTGTGTGTGTGTGTGTGTGTGTGTGTGTGTGTGTGTGAGCTTGTGGGAGAGAAACGTGTGTGATCCGGTGCGTGTGAAAATGCTGCATTTGATGGCGGTGGGGGGAGTAGCAGGTCTTTGGCATTCATCTCTCGTTCAAATCCTCCATCAGCTGAAATCCATCCCTTCTCCTGCAGCATGTTGGGTGCGTTGGATCGGTTTCGTGCCTCCTGCATTTGCATGCTGCATGAACACAATCTGCCGCGGGACCCGTTGGGAACCACTTTCATCCATTTGCATTGTTTTTACACCTCTGTGTGAAAAGAGACAGTGTGCAGCTAGTCTGTCTGATTGTTAATCACAATTGTCCATGAAAATGATAGAATCAGGGTGAACGTTTCATCTTTGTTGGGTATAAATAAAGTATAACATAGTCCCATTTCTTCATTCAAAAACAAGATAAGTCACCAGTCTGGTATGAATGAGCTACATCACAGAACACTCACACCCATCTTCACCTCGGTCCTATACCAGGAGCAACTTCCCACACAAACATACAGAAATCTAAAGTATTTGTTTGGTTATGCGGTGTATCAACTATGCATGAAGCAATTATTTGACGCTGCCGTTGGGCTCGAATTGAAATTTAATAGATGAATTCCTACAGTACAACATTCCCTCCTTCCTCTCTGTCTAAACAGCCATTCATTAACCTGCTGGGCAGCCATTTGTTTGTGCAAACATTCGTTCAGCCTGTTTGTTTTTCTGTTTGCTCAGCCGTGGAAGTGTTCCATTTTTTTCCCACTTCCTCCTCTTCAAGAGATGTCAATGTCTTTTGTGAAACGATCTACAGGGACTTCCATGTGGGCTGAAGAGACAGGCGGCATTGACAGAGAGGGGTCAAAGGTAACAGAGGAAGAAGGAAAAAAGGAGCCTGTGGTGACAGAAGACAAGGAGGAAAAGCACTGCATCTGCAGAAGTTTAGATTGATTAGAATTTAAGAAGAGGGAGGAAAAAAGCATTAAATTGGGGGAAGAGAGGGTGGGAAGGAGGAGAGGGAAGGGCTGGATCACGGTGGATGAAGAGCAGTAGTCAGCACGATAGAGGGAGAGCTGGAGAATGAGATTTTTTACCCTGAGAGCACAACCTTCAGAAGCTTAAAGGGCCATGCCTTCACACTGTTTTGTCCTTAATATAATTCCCATTTCTTGTGTGTGTGTGTGTGTGTGTGTGTGTGTGTGTGTGTGTGTGTGTGTGTGTGTGTGTGTGTGTGTGTGTGTGTGTGTGTGTGTGTGTGTGTGTGTGTGTGTGTGTGTGTGTGTGTGCACGCATATGTGTGTGTATGTATGTTTGCATGCATGTGTGTGTGTGTGTGTGTGAGGGGGGGGGGCAGAAAGAATGTGATTAAAAGAAACAAGCTCTTGTTTCCACACAGGATATTTATTTCACTAGTTGCAGCACTAATGCTGAAGCTCTGCTTTAGCATGTTTGAGTGAATTTATGCAGGAGATTGATTCAGTCAGCTTTTACATCTCACATGTCTTTGCATGCGCTTCATTATTCCATGTGGAATCTTTAAATCCCATTCTTTTCCTCTAATCCATCTTCTTTCTGCTTCCCTACAAAACTCTTCCTGCCCTCTCCTCCTCCCTCCCTCCCTCCCACCCCCTCCCCTCTCTATCTTGCTTGTTTGATCGCTGCAGCCTGCATCGTGAGGAGCTGCGTCTTCCATGATTCACTCGGCAGCCGCTCGAGATAAACATGTTGAGGTGGACAGACGCCTGGGTCCCGGTCCGGAGGAGCAGGATGGCGAGGACAGACTGACGTGGGTGGGCCCCTGCCCTGGTCCCGTCATCAGCACACACCAGCCACTTTGACCAGATGGTACGAAGTTGAGCTCTCGCCTCTACTCATCAGATGCACTTGTCTCTCTGGGGCCTCCAGCAACATGACACAGTGGAACCAGAGGAGAGAAACAATAACTATAATAAAAATTAGCTCTTAATTATAGACTTCGCTCTGCGAAGATTGGTTCTGGTGGTGATGGTAGAGTGTGTCGAGGTTGGATGCTTGACTCACTGTTGGGGCTGAGCCCTGCAAACAACATGGCGGACAAACGCACAGGTCAGAAAGTGATTACACACACTTATGCATGGGCTGATCTTTTATGGTTGGTTTACATCATAGCAGGGTACCCGCTCCAAACACCCACCCTCCTCCTCCCCCTTTGGGGGGGTCTCACAACAAAAACCACTTGTGTTTAACGTGTGATCCAGCAGGATTAATTACATTCACCGCAGAAGCTGATGCCTCTGGTTCCTCCGCTCCGCGGGCTCCCTCGTGGAGACAATGGTGTAGTTAATCTTCACTGGGAACAATGGAGAATTTCTTTAGGTGTGCGTTGGGGGGTAAATGTAGCTACAGATGTGAGCTTGACTATGCTGCCATCTTGTGATTGCATCTGGACTTTTATGAGATGCAAATAAGAGGATAAGATAAGCATCCGAGAAATGTGTTATTGGTAAAAAAAAATTATTTGATAGTCATCATCAGCATCAGTAAATGAGGAGCGACTAGAGACCAGGCGTCTGAAATGTATTGTTTGAACCTACAGAATCCCCAAGATGACAAACTCTTTCTGCAAAATCTCCTGACAGCTGCTCACCTGGCAGAACCAGAGCAGTTTGAAAACAGGCTGCAGGATGAAACGATGAAAAACGGCTTCTCGTAAAACGAGTAAAAGTGTATGCCAGCAGTGTGCGGAGGCAAATAAATCCAATCATTTTCAACTGAAAAGTTAGCAATTAAATCTTTATTAGGGCTGCAAAGACTTACCAAAACAAGGTTAATAACAAAAAAGACCATTCTTTTCACACTGAAACTATACAAAACCACGCTTCATCACTCTGTTGATTACCCAGCATCTCGCCGACATTTGATGATCTGTTTACACCAGAAAACAGCAAAGGCAGGCAACTTCACTCAAACCACACCGCTACACCCAGGAGAAACACTGCTGGGTGTTTAAACACAATTCTGAAGTTAATATAAAAAAAACATTGGCACAACAGAGATTCAGTCATCAGTAAAGCCACAAGCAAACACCATAAAGAGAACTTTGAGGAAAATTGCAGCACCACTAAACAAGGAAGCTTGAAAGATGTTTGCAGGTGATGAGAAAGGACAGGTGGAGAAGAGTGGGTGGTGGCATTTGTGCAGTTTTTTTATTATTATTTTTGGTGGAGTTTAAGGTACAGCAACTTTGTAAGGACTTCCTGGGACATTGTCATCACCCCATTTGACGATGACGGTGTAACTGCCCTTGTCCTTGACGGTGTAGGTGACGTTATAGAGCTTGTTTCCCATGTGCTTGACGTACACCTCCTCACAGGGAGTCTGGGGCCCGTGCACGCCCACCATCAGCATGTTGGTGCCTAAATGGAAAGATAAGAGCTTTTAACCGTCTTGTTGATAATTTTAATCTAATTATGCTTAAGTTTCATATTAACTGTCTCACCTGCTTTGCTGCAGTCAACAGAAAACGTGTTTTTCTGCCCCACTAAAGCTTTGGACAGCCCCACGCCACGGCAAACTACTTTGCTGGCATCCGACATCATTTTAGTTGATGAGGTGGAGGAGGAAGAGCTGTAGGCACCACCCACTTTGGAGGTTTTGGTAACTGTTTCAACCAAGACAGAGGAGGTCTCGTGGAGGCTGTGTCCACCTGAAAGCCTCGGGCCTGCAGGAGAAGAAAAACCAGATCATGACCTAAAATTGTGCCCTGAATGTTATTTAAGTCACGCTGGATTGAGCTGCTGCCCATGCTGATGGTTCTCCTTCATTCTAACATTTAATGCAACAGATAAATGTGCGTGCAACAGCAGTGAACTTTTGTGCAGCTCTAACCCAACAGGAACACTCAGCCACACAAGGACAGATTATATAACAATCTGTAAGTTTCAAAACTTTTTATCTTCGCAACATTTGTTTCATAATGAAGACATTTGTCATTCACAGATCAGATGGGAGAATGACTGTCAAACAGACCTGTGATTCTGGCTTTGAAGGGGCTGCCGACTATGTGCTGCGGCCCGCCGTATTTGATGGTGATGAGATAGTTGCCAGGTGCCATTGGTGTGTAGGTGATCCTGTAGCCCTCAGGGCATTCCCGACAGTCCATCTTAACTTTAGAAGGACCGTCAATGTTCACCGATAGAGTGCCGGAGCCTGCGTTACAAGTATTGACCACAAACTCCAAAGGTACGCCTGGAAAAGGGAATAAAATGCAAATTGTAAAAGAAAGCATCAGTCTCTTGTATGTAAATAAGTAAACATAAGCTACATGTGATAGCCACCTGTGGTTCCTCCCTGCAGCCCAGGACCAAGTGCAGTCACCATCCCCGGGTCTCCGATCAGCCCTGGATCGCCTACTCGCACATTGAAGGGGCTCCCAGGAATGTGGCATCCATTGAACTTGACATCTATGGAGTGAACTCCATTCTCACGTGGAATGAAGCGGATCGCGCTCTTATCTGAATACAAAAGATTATTTGAATCAGCACTCATGCAAGATGCAGGAAAAGGCTAAGTTACATTCCTCTTTGCTTGTGCTGCAACCCTAAGGCGATGCCTTACCGCTGTCAAGCTCTGAGACGTAGCATTCCTCACAAGAGCCAGAGGGTGTGTGAACTTTGGCATCAACCACACCGCGGGCGCCGTTGCGTTGCACCATGAAGGACGCCTCCTGGTTTACTTTCAAATCCTTTTCCTGCCCAGAAAAAAACAAGAACATTATTGAATTATGTGTCTAAAACTGGACGGACACAACGTGCACCATTCATCGTTTCTGAAGAAGAATAGATTGAGCAACAGAGAGGCAGAAAAGGTCAGAGATTACAGCCGATCAGACACAGAGAGAGTGATATTTAAAAGCTCTCCCATGGCTCCTCACCTTGCTTCTAGCACTGGGAAGTGCTCAGAAGCACTTTTTCACTTCAATAAAACCACGTCTGTTGGTAAGTGAGTTAGTGAAAGCAAATAAAACAACATCTGTCCGATGACGAGGCTGACGTTAGGAGCTGTCGCAAGTATCTTTGTCTCTGCTCTTCTTTTTTCTGCCAGTCAGGCGTGAAACACGATCACATAAACTAGCTGAGTGCCCACACAGCACAGCTTGTGTTGCCCCACATTAGGAAGGGACAGTTAATCCAGTCCTTCATCACTGGCCAGCATCACTGTATTACAGTCATGCATACAGCTCCAACACTGGCATTCAATTACACTTCAAGGGCAAAGTGCTATTAGACAGAAATATCTACAACTAATCATACTTGCCATCTGCTATTCAGCCTTGATGTTTTGCATATGTGCATGTTTTGCCTCTGAGGTTGTGCAAAAAACTAATGTGATTCTTATCAGCTGTGTGCGTGTGTGCGCGTGTGCGTGTGTGCGCGCGCGCGTGTGTGTGTGTGTGTGTGTGTGTGTGTGTGTGTGTGTGTGTGTGTGTGTGTGTGTGTGTGTGTGTGTGTGTGTGTGTGTGTGTGTGTGTGTGTGCACCCACCTGAAGGCTTGTCACAGTGAGCCTGCGGGCCTCATCTGACAGTGTAGCAATTGGAACGATGAACGGGCTGTCAGGGATGTGCTCGTTGTTGAATTTGATTGACACCTCGTAGTCACCTGGGGAAGTAGATGTGTTACTTTCACAATCAAATGAACTGCAGGAAGCACCGGAAAACAGCTGGAAAGCCAAACAGCGAGTGGAGAAGAATAAAAGGTGGAAAGCATGCAAAAAGAGTAAAATTCTGTGTTTTAGGTGGCAGAAAGCTACCTGGCTCTTTTACTATGTAGGAGACGCCACAAGAACCATCTTTCCTGTCCTCAAAGGAGATTTCAGCCTTGCTGGGGCCTTCTACTGCAATGGACAGGCCACCGGCTCCTGCCTCTCTGGTCCAAATGCTAAATTCAGCTGTAAATGATCCAAACAAGCTAAGTAAGAGGATGATTCACCTTAAAAAGTTTCATCTAATTAAAATTCTCATAAATGTGCATGTTGTATTTAATCCAGCCACTTTTACTACTGTGTCAATGTACAATGCATCACATTTTCATTATTTTTAATCATGTTAAATTGTGATTTGTTGTATAAAAAACAAATTTAAATTCCATACATGGATTATATTAGATTTGTTTCTAATTCACTTGACTTCACTGTACAAACTGGATTCGTCCCAGTAACATGACCCCCACAGTGTGAACTTACACGGCGCTCCAGCCACGCCTCTTGCAAGGCCAGGTCCTCCTGCACGGACCTTGTGTGCTCCACCTTCCCCCATGGGTCCTACTGTAAACTGGAAGGGGCTTCCAGGTACGTGCTGTCCTCTGTATTTGACATTCACAGTGTGCGGTCCGATCTCCTGGGGGATGAAGCGAACGCTGTATGTGCTGCTCCCTCCATCCACAATGTCAGCATCCACCGTTTTCCCACTGGGACTGGTCACCTGTGCTGTCATGGCCTGGGAACCGCTCTCAACTGGTGAGTCAGACCAAAGCAGCACATTAAACACTTGTTCCTTTTTTTTTATCTTTATGACTTAAAAGCAAAGATATGGACACACCCTCCGGTCTGGAGGTGATGCCAGCGAAGCTGCTGAGGCTCTCTCTGCCCAGAAAGTCTCCAAAAACATCTCTGAAAGGACTTCCTCCTCCTCCTCCCATCTGGGTGCTCTCCTCCACTCGCACCTCCCTCTTGGTCTCCCCACCACGAGTCTTGCTGATCTCTGTCCGCTCAGTGCGGGTATAGGTGTGGCTGCTGCGGGTGAATGTCCTGGTTAGCCTTTCCTGCGCTGAAACCATCTGGAACCAGTTTCCTGCAGCCAGGAGGAAGAAGCAGTGAGAATACCAATACATGTCTGCAGCAACCTCGTTTATTTTAAAGCAGTCGACCGCTGCACTCTAACCGTTTCTGACCGGATGATGTACTCACCGGGGATCTTGAGGTTAAGACCACATGTGCTGCCCACTGAGGCAATAGAAGACGCCTGTCTCTTTCTGGTAATGCTCTCCTTAATCCTTCCTTCTCCAGTCACCTTCACTGTGAAAGGACTTCCTTCACAAAGACAGAGAAATGCACAAATTTACTTCTTTTTTTCAGGATTTTTTCATTATTTATTTTAAAGTAAACAAATTCTGACCTGGGATGTGTTTTTCTGCAAACTTGATATTGACGGTATAACTTCCTGGTTCGGTGGGGCAGTATGTCACCCTGCACGTTCCATCCTCCATGTCCTCACAGTTGATATCTACTTTGCTTGGACCCTCAATTGACAATGCCAGTCCACCATAGCCTAGGGGAACAAATGAAACAGTTTAATATTTTACCTGGCAGTACTTATGAAGAATGGCGCAGAACCATTTTTAAGACTCACCAGCGTTCCTTGTATCCACAAAAAATTCAGCCATTTCAAAAGTGTGTGCCTCCACCAGGCCTTTGCCGAAAGCCTTCACTCTGCTGGCTTCACCGATCTCAGACTGGCCAACCATGATTTTAAAAGGACTGTTTGCTACATGCATGCCGTTTTTCCTCACACTCACTTCATGCTCTCCAACCTCCTTCGGGGTGAAAGAAATGCCTGTGATTGTAAGAGAGGCCGGAAGAAACGCAATCAGCAACAAGGACTGAAAAAAGAGCTGAAAATCTCAACAGAATAAATCAAACATCAATGGGATATTTATCAGTGCTCTATTCCCTCGCTATCTAGCGTTTGTTGTGAGGAAACGTCTCACCAAGATGTCTGTTGGGGAGCCTCTTGAGCAGGCAGGGTTCTTCGTTGCCTGATGGAGCTCTGATACTGGCAGTCAGAGAGCTCAGATCAGTCTCCGCGATCTTCAGGGACACGTCGGCAGCAGTGCCGACATTGAGCTGGGATGTTCTGGTTATGGTATCATCCCCTAACATAAAAAATGCTGGTTCATGCTTTGGTTTACAATAAACTCCCTGATATAAACACATATCAGGAGAAGAAATTCTGCCCAAAAGGAAAAGGATGCATTTCCCCACCTGTGATCTTGGCAGTAAAGGGGCTGCCAGGAATGTGCTTGTTGTCAAATTTGACAATGATGCTGTAGTCTCCTGGTGCTGTGGGGAAGTAGGACACTGTGCAGGTGCCATCTTTGTTGTCCTTGCAGGTGATCTCAGCTTTAGAGGGACCCTCCACTGCAAGTGACAGACCACCTGGGAGAAGGATGCAAAGCTCAGACAACCGTTTTCAGCCATTTAGCACAGAAATGTTTCATCCCTTAAAATATTAAAAATGTAGGTGATGTTTACCTTCTCCTGCGTTCTTGGTCACCACAGTGAAAGCAGCAGCTTTGTTCACGGTCCCATAACTCAGACCTGGACCGTAAGCAGTCACGACTCCGCTGTTCACAGCGTCCACATAAAACTGCAGAGGACTCCCTGTGAGGAGACGAAATCATTTGAAAACATTAAACTTGAGCGAATGCAGCTTTGACTGACATTTATGGGATTTCACCCATAAAATCAGAAGAAAGAGGAGGCAAACTGTTTCTGCCCTGCTGACCTGGAATGTGGTTTCCATCATATTTGATGTCCATCTCATGCAGGCCTCTTTCTGTGGGCTGGTACTTGATCGTGATGGTGCCGTCCTTATTGTCGGTGATGTGTGGGCGACCCGTTTTACCAGAAGGCATCCGAACCTCACCTAGAGCCAAACATTAGCCTCATGAGTTCTGAGCTTTGGTTTGCATTTGTGAATGTCCCTAAACTATTTGGGATTACTAACACCACCTGTAGAAATAAAACATGTACATTTATATGAATTTAAAAGTTTACATAAAACAGGTCTGAGATAAAATGTTGTGAAGTCAGAATCCTCAGGTTTTGCCGCTCATCTTTGTTAGTCATGCGTTCTAACATTTTGTTATTATTTGAGTTAGTCTGACCTGTGATCTCTCCCTGCTGTGGGGTGAACGGCACCAGGAAGTTGACAGGACGAAAGAGAGGATCCACGGTATCACGGGGAACCACTGGCTCGTTTGTAGCCTGGCAGTTTAATAAGACAAACGCTCAGAAAAAGCACACCAGCCACAAAACTGTAGCGATCGTTCAATTGTACTTTCCTCACCATCACTTGAAAAGGGCTCTTTGGGATGTTCTGGCCCCCAAAGCGGATGGTAATTACATATTTCCCGGGTTCAGGGGCTGTATAGTAGATGTCAAAGGTCCCGTCGTGATTCTCCACCACATCCATGTCCAACTCCATCCCCTGTGGGGTGAGAACCTTGCAGGTCACCTTGCCTTTGCCGGCTGCCTTGGCATCCACAGTGATCACTGTATCCTCGGAGGTTTGCAGCTTATGGAGACTTGCTGTTAGGAACAGAGAGAAGAGATGAATAGAAAGTGGCATCAGACATGAAATTATCCCTAGATCTTGTCACGTGCAGTAGAAGTGATGTTAAAACAGAAAGATAAAGTCTTTGTTACTCACACACGCCGTGTCCTCCAATTGAAACTGGAAATTTGAAGGGAAAAATGTTAAAACAACTATAATATATATCTTTTTTTTTATTTACATGAACAATTAAAGAAATGGAATGGTTTTTTTACCAGTGAGGCGGCATTTGCTAGCATCCCCTGTGGGCAGGGACTGGATGCGGTACGGGGAGTAGGGAATCTCATCTCCTCCGTATTTAATAGTGATCGTGTAGGGTCCTGTAGAGTCAGGGACATAGGACACCGTGTAGGTTCCATCCCTGTTATCCTGGATAGTCGCATTCTTCGGCTTGCCCTCTGGGTCCTATGGAAAAAAAAAAGATTAAATTTACTTAAATATTAAGTGGCTCATGAGTCTGATTATTAGCTGAGTGTTGCTTTGTGCTGAACCCACCAGAATCTGCACAGTGAGCAGCCCCTCTCCAGCATCACGAGCATCAATGGTAAACTCTACAGGCAGGCTGGCAGCCACACCTTTGGTGTCTAGACCTGGGCCACTGGCACGAACCTTGCTGGCATCGTGCCCAGGCTGAGACATCACCTTGAATGGACTGTTGAGACGCAGCATACAGGGTAATTAACAAAGTCAGTGTGAGAGAAAATAAAAGAAGGATGGAAAACCGACTGTAGCACACCTCCTTTTTCATAAAACCATTCAGGGAGAGTTTTAATGGAGACATTTCTAAAGACATGACCTGACTAGGTATGTGTATTTTAACACACGTTTGATTAAACTATACCTGTGCGGGACTTCCTGATCTGCATATTTGACCGCTACAGTGTAGGGGCCGTCCTGTGCCGGGGTATAGTGAACTGTGTGGGTGCCGTCCCCATTGTTCTTCACACCAACAGGCTCAACACTACCTGTAAGTTATGATAAAGCAAAGGCTTACAATCTAATTAGTGAATACGTTAGTCCTTTTCCTCATAGAGATGATTCCCACCTGTTGGTCCATAGAGTTTGACGTCCAGCGGGGCCTGCCCAGCCTGGGTGCAGTCCGCTGTGAAAGTCTGAGGAACGTGAGCTCTCACTCCAGCGCCCAGACCTGGACCAGAGCATTTCACCTTGCTGGGGTCTACCGGGTCCTTCACCAGCACATGGAAAGGACTCCCAGGGATGGGCTGACCTCCATAGGTAATATTTACATCGTAGTCTCCAGGAGTGAAGGGAACATATTCCACACTGCAGCTGCCATCTTTGTTGTCTTTGCAGGAAATTTTTGCCTCTGAGGCTCCTTCAATCGTCAGACCTAGCCCTCCAGTACCAGCACCTCTGAGAGAGAAGCCAGTGTTGTTAATTATTCATTCATTCTTTAACTCTATAATGTTAAAATTTAATATTTGCACACTTCCTTGCACATATATCTTCTCTGAGTGATTGAAGCAGTACCTGGTTTCCACAGTGAAAAAGTTTGACTTGTTGGTTATTCCACCCTCTAGACCTGGCCCAAAGGCACGGACCCGGGTAGGATCACAACCCTCCACCACAAACACTCTGAAGGGGCTTTTAGGAACAGGCGTGCTGTCATACAGCACCTCAATCAGATGCATTCCTGCATGCAAACAGAAACATCTTGACTAACGTTTTACATTTTGTTTGTGTCCTCAAAGCAAGGCAAATATTTTCTGCTAATGCCTCTCGCCTTTAATTATGGGCCAGTCAAATTCCCTTTTAGGGAGACAAACGTCTGTTTATTTATAAAAGATGCCATCCAGAGTACAGACGCTTCACTGAACAGACAAGACGATACATCTGTTCCCTATTCATTATTCTGTTACAACATTTTTCTGACAGAGTGCTCTCAGTAGGCCTATACAGCATATTCCCAGCCACACTGCCATGATATTAGAGCATGTCTGTTGGTGGAGAAGCGCTCTGTGATCTCTTTGCTTTGTGTTATAGGTCTCTATTAATACCCCATGTCATTCCTTTGCTGTACCGTTGTGTGCAGGCAGTCTTCAGCACACATACCTGCCTGGTTAAGAGCTTCTGTTCCAGAGCGCACTATTTATAAAGCAGAGCCTCACTGCCTGCTTGCTCTCTGCCCCTAACATCATTGCTCGACTGCATCATTCTGTATTTATACCCCTCTCTCACTCCATCTTCCTTTTCCCACTCTCCTGCTTTATTCCCAAATTATGCCTGAGACAGGCACCTGTTAATGATTTGTCCATCTGTATGCACATTGACTCCACTAACGTAAAATCCTTTGTTTGCTCCACATTGGATGTAGCAAATGTTTAACTTCATTAATTATTGATTCACATTTTCTCTGTGCTCTTACCATCCTCAAAGGCAGTGTACTCCACTCTGTAAGTGCCGTCGCCCTTGTCGGTAATGTAGGAGTCTGTGTTGGTGCCGGAGGGGTTGATTATGTGGACCTTTACATGACTGCCACCAGCCTTGTTAAGGGCACGCGCATCAACAATGAAGTGGGTTGTGACTTCCCTGAGGACCCCTTGAGACACAAAAGCACTTCAGGTGATTTGGTGCCCAGCACTCAAATAAGCCTAATAACTCAGAGCCATCAAACATCCCTACTGATGCTGATTTCTGCGTGACAGTGGTAATTCAACAACCGTTGTTCACACGAGACAGAAATGCATTTTGAGCTTACCTCTAGGCTCCACCCCAGGACCATAGACATGAACTCCACTGGTGTCCAAGGAGGGTTCCACTTGCAATACTTTTGGAAAGTAGGGAATTGCGTGTCCACCATATTTGATGGTGATGGTGTGAGATCCGTGGAAGGATGGGATGTAGGTGACAGAGAAGGTACCCTCTGAGGTTTTCTGGATGTGCACCTCAGCTTTAACCCCAGTTTCGGACACAATTTCGATGGTGAGCTCAGCGTCACCCGCTCTGGTGCAATCCACGGTGAAGGTTGCTGGTTCACCTGCCTTGGCCTTCTCCAGGCCCGGCCCACTGGCCATTACTTTGCTAGGATCGAAGGCTGGGCGAACTTTGGCTTTGAAAGGGGAGCCAGGGATGTGCTGCTCAGCAAACAGGATGTTGATGGCGTACTCGCCGGCATCAGTGGGGAGGTAGGACACTGAGCAGGTCCCATCTCCATTGTCATGGCACTCAATTTTAGCCTCACAGGGACCTTCTACTGTCAGGCCAAGTCCACCTGCACCAGCTCCCTTTGTGTCAATAGTGAATGGAGCTGGTTTACCCACAATGCCACCCTTAAGGCCTGGACCAAAGGCTCTTACCTACAAACATACAGCCAGTTTTAACCCTCAACAGAAAAGTAACTGAAATACTTAATCCTTTTTTTTTCAGGAAGTCAAAGATTGGATTTGGTACCTTTGAAGAATCAGCTGGCATGACTGCTTCAACCCCAAAGGGACTACCCATCACAGGGTTCCCATCATAGCTCACATCAACCTTGTACTGTCCTTCCTCTGGAGGGATGTACTTCACACTGTGAGTGCCTTTGGTTTTGTCTGACTCCAGCTTGCAGGGGATGGGTCGACCAGAGGGGGATGTCATCTTCACACCTACGTTGCCCTGCCCACCTGCACCCTTTGTGTTCACTGTGAACTCCTGATCTTTTCCCACCTCCACTTCTGCAAGCGAGAGTGCAGTGGAAAACTTTAATATCAGTATACCCTGTGCAATTGTGTGATAACCTGTGGTAATGTTACTTACTGGTATCCAGCCCTTCCACCTTCACCTTTCCAATATCCAGAGCTGGTGCTACTGTGATTTGGAAAGGGCTTTTGGGAATGGGATCTCCTCCATGAGTCACAGAAATAGCCATGTTGCCCTGAGAAAAAAAGCACGCCAGAAGAAGAATGACTCCCTCCTCATTTGAGGGTGTGGTTATTAATAATATTCTTCATCAAACTCTCCACACCTGCTGAAGAGCCGTGTACTTGACGGTGTAGGAGTAATCGTGGTTATCAATGATCTCAAAGTCACGAACTGCCTCTCCAGGGCCTGGCGCGGCAAAACGCACCTCAGGCTTGGCTTTTCCAGCTCCTTTTGTGTAGATGGTGAAGTGTGTTGGCGTACCCACCTCCACACCTGAATTTAGTTTTGATAGCGTCATCAGTAACCAAATCAAACACTTTCAGTGGACATTGTTGCACACAAAAACACTCTGATGATACTTAACACATCTCACCTGTCTTATTGAGACCAGGACCCTCTGCTCTCACTTTGCCAGCATCATGGGAAGGATCCACCTTCACTTTGAAAGGACTGATTGGAATTTCCTGGAAAAAACATTGAATAAAATTGTATAGAAGAAAGTTTGTTCCAGACTCACTTGATTTGTAAAATGCATTCCTACCTGGTCAGCAAACAGCACCATGATGGTGTATCGGCCCGCACCAGGGGGTGTGTACTTGACAGTGAAGGTGTCATTGTCATTCTTGATGATGTCAAAGTCGATGTCAGCCTCAGCCGGTCCGACCACCCCTGGGGCGCACTTGATTCCGATGCTGATGTCTCCTAATGGTGCATGACAATGAGCCCAGTTCAGAGAGGTTACTTAACTGTAGATCACCTGAATAAATTGAAGTTGTCACTCCACTGCCCCAGGCATCACATTTTAGGTACAATTATGCATTTAAACTAACAATGCAGCAGCTCAGACTCACAGATCCACCTGCTATGCTCATTTTCTGCTCTCTGTGTTTTAACATTCACTGGATGTAGCACATTATTTGGCCAACTGAACTCAGGAGTGTTTTTGCAACCACTCACTCTGTCTACTTGTGCAGACTCACCTTGACCCGCTTCGCTGCAGTCCACAGTGAAGTACGTTGGCTCGTTAGCTTTGAGCCCAGTCTTCTCCACTCCGGGCCCGTAGACCTTGACTTTATCGGGATGAGAGCCCTCTCCAACCAGCACCTAATGAATTCACAGAGGGCTTGAAGCAGAAGCAACTGACTGAAGTGAAACGCCTATTATTATACATTTGGTTAAGTATCATTACTTCAGATTGAGATGACTGTTCGTGTGTGTGTGAGTCAGCGTTTGATGTATCTTACTCTGAAGGGGCTGTTTGGCACGTTGACTTCACCCCAGGTGATGATGATGGTGTGTTTAATGGGTTTGACGGGAGTGTACACACACACAAACGTGCCATCCCCTCTGTCAGTGATCTTGATGTTGATGGTGCAACCCTCAGCGTCCTGAGTGGAGACAGAATCTGCTCTGTTCTGCTCTGTGCAGCTTCATGCAATATAAATGGTTTATTCCTATAAATAAAGAATGAAGACTCTACAAACTTGTCCAGCTCATACCTGAGCGTAGATCTTGAGATGACCCTTGCCAGCCATGCGGGCATCAATGGTGAATTCAGTCGGTTTGTTTACAGTGACACCAGTCGGCAGCAAGCCTGGCCCGTAGGCTTTTACCTGTGAAAAATCTGTTTAGATTGCTGCTAAAAAAAATATTTTTCCAAACAAAAATAACTGGAAATTACTTTCTCAGGGAAGACACCATTTACAGCTGGCAGAATGTGAGCCATGAAAGGACTATCCTTGATGTCTTCGTCATCACAGATGACATGGACAGCGTAGTCACCAGGCTCAGTGGGCCAGTAGCGCACATCACAGGAGCCGTCACCCTTATCGTCACACTCAATCTTAGCCTGGGATGGGCCTTCGATGGAAAAGCCTGGAGAGCAAAATCATCACGTTTAACTTTTTAACTGATAGGCTTTATCCTGGTGTGGAAGTTAAAGGGTTAGAAATACAGTTGTTTTATTTCTCTTGTAAAAAATCTCACCCAGAGTTCCAACTTCAGTGCCGATTGCCTCAACCACAAAATCTGCAGATTTTCCCACCATGCCGGTCTTCAGACCAGGACCCCAGGCCCTCACCTTCTGAACGCCAGCTTCTTCACCTACCTCCACCTCAAAGGGGCTGTAACGCACATTAATGTTAGTGGGCATGAATATCAAAAAGAGCAGCTAAAGCCAGGGTTTCTTATACATTTGCCAACACAAAAGTCTTTTTCAAGCACTCATAACAAGATTATTACACTTCCTTGTTACATAGGAGAAAAGGTTGAGCCATAACCAAAACTTATAAAATATCACATTAAATTCTAGCACCTGCAAGGATTTCAAGAACCCTGTGGAGGGGATTTGAGGACCCTACCTGCGCGGAATTGGCTGGCCTCCCCAGGTGATGCTCACTGTGTATTTACCCGCCTTAAGTGGGTAATATTCACATTCATACACTCCATTTCCTGCATCTTGCACTTTCACATGCTCCTCTGCTCCAGCTGAGGAGGAATAATATTGTCAGCACTGATTCTTATCAGCATATCCCGCTTATTTGGTTTGTATACATATGTAAGTAATGCATGTTGACACAAAAGCTAAAACACAGGAAATACTTTTTATTTTTCACTGTACAAAAAGGAGCGAGGACTGATGCAGAGAGGAGAGAGAGAGCTGTCTGACTCACTCGGTCCTTTGACGGAGACGTTTAGTGCACCGCTGCCAGCTCCTTTGGTGAAAACTTTGAAGTCTGCAACCTCCTTCACTCTCACGCCTTTAGGCTGTAGCCCTCTGCCAGTAGCTCTGCAAGCATTTGGGTTTATGGCTACAAGAAAAAAAGTATGAAAGAGAAATTGATTTCAAAGAGCAAAAATAAAGAAATGAAAAAGAAGAGAGTAGCCAGAACTTTACAGAAAAGTTAGTAACTAAATCCACTTCACAAAGGACTCCAGACAGAACCTGCAGATAATCCTTTTAGAAGAACATACTGCAGATACACAACGCTGAACAATTCACAGTGCAGTGCAACAAGGGCACGTCCGACAACATTTCAGTCAGTCAGAAAATGTTGAGGGCAGGCTTTAAACTAAGTGCTGGCTGATGCAAATTTAAACTTCATGAAAAACAAACGTGTCAAAGAGCACAAGCAAAGATATTCAACAGAAAGGATAAAAAGAAACACAAACTGACAGGAAAGCAAACTGGAACAGTCTATATGTACACATCACATCTCGTCTCTCACTGAGCACAACTAAACCATCGAGCAGTAAAAAAGAGCGGAGCAGGCGACCAAGCACGGCATTTTAACCACCAGAACGTCAACTTAAAGCAAACAGGAGCATGTGCAGAGGTCTGGCACAGGAAGGATAGGCACTGGAATGATCCAACAAGCTCCTCCTAACAGATATGTACTAACTTGGACGGCCAGGTTTTGGTGGGGGAGCCCCCTTGCCACCCTTCACTCCCGGAGGGGTGAGCACTGACTGAGGAGCTATTTGCAGTGGCGCTCCCGTGGGAGGAGCAACTGCTGGAGCTAGAAATGACAGATAGGGGTGGTTATGGAGTGGAAAGCGGTGGCTGTTCCTAGGCAAAATAAAGATGGCTGTAGATTGTGATGGATAGATCACCCCGACACTAACAGCACGCTAGGAAATCAGATTTGTCTGACAGTTATTTACAACACAGACAGATGGCTCACCCTCTGCAATGTTGACAGTGTAAGGACTCTTGGGGATCTCCTGGCCTGCAAACAGGATGTGGATTTTGTGAGGGCCTTCCTGCACAGGACAGTAGGTGCAGCGGAAGACACTGTCACCCTTATTCTCCAGGATGAGCTCCACTGTGTCTTTTTTGCCCTGAGGATCAATGATGACCACACTGATGTCACCATGACCAGCACCTGAACAAAATACAGAATCAAGTTCATTCTTAAGCATCAGACTTGTAATAAGTCTATGGATATTTGATATCATCGGTCTACCATTAATATAGGCTGATATCAGCACCAAAATGTATGGTAAAATATCGGTTTTAATTTTAATGGTACAGCGTTTATACACCATACATGTGTTATATATCAAACTCTTCAACTACTTCTCCTCTCCTGAAATGTAAAAAGTTGACAGATCTGTGGTAAAGTTTTGATATTTTAGTTCATGTGACACAACTTGTGAAGTAGGAATTTGCCCTGTGCAGTGAGCGTATGTTGTCCTCACAGCACGTAGCTACATGTAGCTAAACAGCTAACAATATACTAGAACAAAAACAAGAAGTAGCTGTCAGAAAAGGTTTATATTTAAGCATGCACAATCGGAAAAATGTGGTATTAGTAACCTAAAATGTTTTAGCTTTTCTGTTTTTTTATGAGAGGGATATATCGGTATGGAAATTAGGAGTCAAACTATTTGGTGTGTCTGATGTCGATAAAATAAGCCTATATCAACGAGCATTCCTTAAATGTTTGGAGTCTATGACACCATGTGAGGGCTACTAAGATAATTTTGTTTATTTTGAAATAGGAAAACCTCTTTGATCAACAAAGTGGCTGAAGTTTCATCCCAACTCACCAGCTGTATAGATGTCAAAGTAGGTGGGTTTGTTGGCTATGTTGCCTGTTGGATCCAGACCCGGTCCCCTAGCGTGAACTTTACTCGGGTCACCCATCACCTTTGCCACGTTGACAGTGTAGGGGCTCTTATCAGTGTCCTGACCTGCAAACAGCACCTTCACCTAAAGTTGACATAAAAATAAAATATAAGATAAAAAAAATTGGGTTTTAAACCAAGAGTTTATGTTATTCATCGTGGTTGTTTGTTTGTTTTACCTTGTGGACGCCCTCAACCTTTGGAACATAAGTGACAGTGTAGGTTTTGTTTTTGTCCTTGTTGGGTTTAACTTTAGCCTGGGCAATAAGCAGAAGAGTGTTCATTTAGACATGAGACTGTGCAAATCCCTGTGAAGAAGAAATCGAAGGCCCCATTAATGACTTGCCTCCTCTTTGTGACCTTCAGGATCCTCCACGAACACCAGGACTTCGCCGCTGCCGGCTTCTAGAGTATCCACCGTGAAGATGGCTGGCTGCAGAACTTTGTTGCCATGAGATTCAATACCTGTGATGCAGAACATGATGATGTGGTTTACTTTCTAGTTTTAGTGGTAATGCACCAGCCTGCCGCGTAAATCTTCATTGAAATGAATACAGTCACTAAACCAATAAAAGGCTGTAATTTAACAAATTTATAAAGCCGGAGCAGAGTCTACTACGTGGAATACGAACATTAAAATGTTTCCTTAAATAGATATATTTTGCTTTAACGTTTGTAACTATTATCTAATGATTGCTTTTTGTTTGTAACAGCTGTCGGCACCACTGTTGAGCCGCCTTACCCGGTCCGTAGGCTTTGACCTTGTCTGGAAACAGCTGTTTTGGTCTGAGAGGGGCCCCAGGTTTCAGCTTCGCCTTGGGGAACTGGGACAAGTACGTCATGACTGAGTGCTCATCCACATCTGGGTCCACGATTTCCTCAGGGGCAATCACCTGAAGCACAAAACATGTTAAAGTGGTAATTACACCATTCCAGCAGCAAAAAATGCAATAAAATGAATTCCATTTTTTAAAAGTTGCTTCATTTAATCTTACTTCAGTCATTTTCAACAACGGGTTGCATGACTATTTTTTGGCAACTTTCCCTTATGATTAATAATGGGAATGGGATTAAAGAAGGATTAGATGAATTTATTCTCTCCACCCATGACTTCTGTCTCCCTTACAGCACTTGTTTGTCCGTCTGTCACACAGTGGCACAAAGTCATGCTTCACAATGGTTATATTTAACCTCAGGACAGCAGGGTTGAGCCACCATGGAGGGTGGGGGGGATTTCATCCTGAGCCAGAACTCTCCCACATCCACTTTTAAAACACCACATCGGCATCCAACCTCCCCCTTTAAAGGCCTGCAGAGCCGTGACATGCACTTTCGGTTATCTCACTAATGTTAAGCCTCACTGAAAAAAGATAACAGTGTGTCTTGAACAGGTAAACAACCTGCATGATGCACATTGCAATGCAGAGGCTCATATGGGACCAGGAGCTGTGCATATGTCCAAGATGTTTGCATTGGTATTCTGGTACTTTTACAAGTTGTGCGTGCTAATATGAAAGGAATGAATAAATCACATTTGCCTGCAGAATCACAACTCTCACCAAAAAGAACTCCAGCTCTTACTGAGAGCTACAGCTAAAGTAGATGGTAATTCAAAAGATGAGCTGGGTAATAAAAATTCAAACTCTCCCTCCAGGAGGATGTCTTGGGTAAACAGGTCTCTATTTCATACATACCAGAGGCTTTTTATATATTTATTTGATTAAATGTTGTCTCAGAGGTGCATGAAGTGAAGCATGTTTGCTTTTGCTCATTCAGAGCTGATTTGTGCTTAATTAAAGATTTATTTATTTTTGTTTGTTTCGGTTTCTAACTATCTGAAAATGACCCGGAAAATCTATAAAGAAACTGCTGAGAACATTTAGATTCCGATTTTGCCACGTTTCTTACCTGAGGCACACCCAGCCAATCATCAGCCTGTTGCATAGCTTCTCTGGCATTCTCCACAGGCAGATTTGGGTCCCACTCTGCCCAGTCGGGACACAGTCCTAACGGAAAAACCAAGAGGGCAATGACACAACTGTGCAGTGGCTGAAGTAGGCATGACCAGACAGCAGCGACTATAATAAGACCACTTAGACTGTCACTGCTATCGCTGAAGTGCTTCTGAATACAAAATCCCATGACCTTACCCACATCGCTCGGCTCCCACAAATTCTGTGTATGTGACAATGAACGACTCTCTCGACTACTCACAAGAGGCAGCTTCGACTGACTCTGTGGTGCTTTCACTGTGGCTGAGCCTCTCAGGCTGTGAGCTGCTAATGCCTAAATTGGATTAGCGTTGGCAATGGAGTGGCTACTCTCTCAAAAGGCCCAAGCAAGCACACCACAGAATAACATTATCTAATTAATATAGACACAGAAATGAAGAGAGACGAATTTGCATGGATCTAAATCAAAGCAGTGTGCAGTGATGGTGCAGAACAAAGCTCTGCATGCCCTCTGGTGTGTGTAATATGGGCTATAACTGCACTAAACAAATAACAGAAGTTTGAGAAAATTATTGTTGCCCACCCAGACTGTTTCTTTTTTGTCTAAGAGCAGAAGTGGTTTCACACATTTGTAATTTTAATCAGTCTTTGTGTTCCCAGATCAAAGCTTCTTTTGCTCCGCTTGTTCAGGAACAACAGATGAGACAAAGGAAGCCTTGTATGGTCATTATAGCTGCACAGTGTTTAAATGATGCGTCTCCTCAGATCGATGGCTCACAGAAACCCAGTTAAACATGGTGTTCCACATTTGCTACTCTCCCACCTTTCAGTCTGTGAGGTAAACTCAGGAGAGGACTCTCTATAGTTCATTGTTGGAAGCAGAAGCCTCTGCTGGCTGTAACTCAAATGCTGGCCTTGTCTTTGGATCTGCGGCTCAGGCACCTCCCTGGGACAGATTTGTTGCAAGGCCAAGCATCCCCCTTGATAGAGGGAGGAGGAATGGTGTCCAAATTTGGGGGTGTTCTGTGGCAGCTAGGCTATAAACACTAAAACCAGGCTTGGACGTAGGGCCAGCATCACTGTGAGCAAACGCTTTCGTCATTGTGGGACAGCTGGAGGGGACGTCTTCAGAATCATAAATAAAATAACTTTTTTTTCCAAACAAGCTGAAAAGATTTGCTTTGATTACAGAGATCATATTAGTTAAAAATTTGGTTGGATTTTTCAGTAATTTTAAATTAGAAGTTTGAGATCGACCACCAAGAGCCAGTTGGTTTCCAGTTTGATTCAAATTTTAAACAATATCTCCAAAATGTGAGTTAACTGAGCTCTATGTAGTTTTGGTGGTACAAAACTGTCTTTCTTTCTTTCTTTCTTTCTTTCTTTGTTTCTTTCTTTCTTTGTTTCTTTGTTTCTTTCTTTCTTTCTTTCTTTCTTTCTTTCTTCTTTCTTTCTTTCTTTCTTTCTTTCTTTCTTTCTTTCTTTCTTTCTGTTTGTTTGTATTGTTTAAAATGTGTAATAATAGGTGGGTTATGATTGTATAGTTTAGTGACTTCAAAGGGATACTTTGTAACTCTTTCATATTTTTACATCATTTTCTTGAGTCAATATGTGTTAAACTGCCCTTTACAGGGTTAATGACCGACCACCCAGCCCCTATCGCCCTTGTGGCCAAACTACCGCACTTGCAACTTCAGAGTGGCATACCTGCCACTGCAGACTGTTTCCAGCACATTTTCTGCATGTTTTAGATCATGGGCACAGCTGATTTGTTAATTTAGTGATGATTCACTCCTGTAGACACTAAGGAAGGCTGGGAGACATCGCCAGATTAAGGTATTAAAAAGACGAACGCACAGTAAGGAGATTTTTGAGAGAGTTTTGCTTTCACTAGACAGACACTGGGGTGCTTAAAGCAAGTCAAACAGCCTAGTTCCCTTTTAAATAATTTCTAGCTAATTTTTTTGTTTGAAAACAGCTTCAGGACAAAACAGAGTAAATAATTTGTTTCATATCTTATTGTTATATCTTCTATTATAATTGCTAACCCCATCCAGGAAAACTCCACCACATATATTCTGACTCAGCACTTCCATTATCCAGCCCCTACAGCAAGCTAACTTCCCCATAAGCTCCTTACCAGGGGCGCAGTTGTCGACCAGAGCTCCCAGGGCTTTCCCATCCCGCCAGTCACGGTTAAAATTGTTGATGGGCAACTGGGGCACCTTGTTCTGAATCCAGCCCAGCAGACGTTGTTTGGGAGTCAGCTTTTTTGTCTCCTCATCGTCTTCGTCATCCCACATAGGCATTGAGATGGAATAGTGCAGGATGAGCGTCCATATGAGCCCAAGGATCAGCTTTAGATTCCCATCAACAATGGCTTTGCTGTCTGTTGTCAGATAATAGAAAAAACAGTATAAGAGAGTGTAGTCACATGATCCAACCCAAATAGATTTGACTACATATACAATACAACAGTATTTTTCTGAATATACGTAGATCTGGATTTATATTGTTCTCAAAAATGGTTATGAAATATAATTTTTTGACTTGTTGAGTTTTTACGAGCTATACTCATGTGACAAAAAATGATGACTGGCTGCTGAGAAGGGAGGAATGTAAAGCTCCTCAGTGCTTCCCCTGGAGTCCCTTTTCTCTCAGACAGCTGTCTGACTGAAGACCTCTGACAATCTGTCATCCAGTCACAACGGTCCTCTGAAGACAGTGACAGCTGAGGCTATGTGGAAACAGATCCCTCTATGCATAAATGCCACTTGGATTTCAATTACCTCCTAAATTTGTAGCACTGGAGCACCATAAATCAAACAGGTGTGGATTAGATACACAGGCAGTTAGCACGCCGCTCGTTTCCTGAATTTCTCTCTTTGGATAAGTTGGTTAAATGAGGTTATTACTCGAACTTTAAAATGCAGCCATTTAAATGAACAATTGTTCAAATTTGATTGCTTTGGTGGCAAATTTAGTAGGTTTTACTTCAGTAAATTTTGGTTAATTTGATGTCAGTTTTTTTATTTTTATTATTATAGGATTTTTTTTTTTACTGTGAACTATTGGACTTTCGGAGATCAGCTCGCCTATCTATGTTTGATTTGTCACAGCTTGACTGGCAGAGGCAGGTGGTGCAACGTCTGTCCAGCTTTAAGGGTAACTGACTGGTCAAAGAGACATCCATCAAATGGTATCCAGTTACACACTGTGACACGTGATTCTTTTTGGCATCCCGGCTGCAACAAGACATTATCTTCCGGGGGCTTCCTCAACCCACACAAGGAAAAACGGTACCACAGAAGGCAAAAGGCTTTCACAATCTGGTTTCTGTCAAAGCAAATTGACCCAGCATGAGGCTGCAGAGCTGGGACAACTGTGTCAGACACTTTAAGGCCTACACTCATTAAAGGACAAACAGCCGATGAGGTCTAATCTGTGATTGTGACCAATGCCCTTCAGTGATCAGCAGGATTGCTTGAGATTGGATTTTACCATTTAGTGTCCCCCCAAAGTCAGCAAGTACACACCAACAAACATGCAGAGAGCGTTTTCCAAGGGTGAGGACACGCAGTGGCCTTCACAGTCCAACGACCAAAACCTCAGCCCTGCCAGGAATTTCACTCGAGTGTGTAACAGGATCATTAGATGCTACGACAGAGAAAAAACTCTGTCAAAGTTTAATATCTGCTTCCTACATGAACTGCTGGGTGTTTAATAAAGCTGGAACTCATTATGGAAGATCAAGGCCTTTCATGTGATTCTGCCAGCTTCTGAACTACATGAAATTTCAAACAATATTCCATTTGCCATGTTTGTGTGTTGTGACTTCATGGATGTGATAAATGACCTTACGCATCTGGACACAGCCGTATCCCCAAATCCCAGTTCTTTCACACCAAACAGAAGCCACACTGAGTCTTTTAGGCCCTTGACATGCCAAAGGCAAATGTGTATAACTTGTTTTAGTCTCATTAGAGAATTCCCAGCACTGAGGCATCACCAGGAGTCAGTAGGACCATCATTCATTGGCCTTGAGCCATCATAATGACCTCAATGATATATCAGCAGGAACTTTCCAGTAAGCTGTTGACCTCAACTCAACACTCTGATATGGAAAATGTGTGTGATTGTGCAAATACAGTTCTTACCTACTACACCATTTATACTTTTTTCATTAAGCTGAGGTTTAAAGTTTAACATCTTACCTATTGAGACCAGTTTGATGTGCTCCCTGTCCAGAAACTCCAGAGCCACAGAAACATTCTCCAGCTTCATCTGCCGGAAGTTGGGCCTGATATGGTGCTTTCTGTACATCTTCTTGTGACTCAGCACCTCCAGGAGCGAGATGAGCTTTAGTCCATCGCTAAAATCCTTCTGCAGGTCGGTGATGGTCTTGTTCACGCACTTGAGGTGCTCATTGCACCACCTGGTGAAGGTGTTCTGCTGGATCTTCTTCCACGGCGCATCTTCAGCTAGATCCTTCTCTGTGGCTGGCATCTCGTCGTCCTCTTCTTCCCCGAAGTCCGTGGCCTGGTAGTACTGCGGAGGCAGCTGCTCATTGCTGTAGTTATTGCTCATGACGACTACTTTTATAGCTCGGTGACACCTGGGTGTTGGGATATGTGCGGAAAACTTTTAGCAGCTTGGTGGTGATGCCCGTTTGCTTGCAGAGGAGAAGTTCAAACCTGGACAAGTTTGAGAAGAAGCTTAGAGATTCTTCAGGCCTACTTGCGATGAGACCACTGGTGTTGGACAGTGATGGATTAGATTATCCGTTAGGCAGTTGGTGGCCTGTTTCCTTTAACTGGATCCTAAAGTTTTCTTTTTAAAGGGTATTTCCGTGAGCTGGAGTGGTGGTGTAGGAGAAAACTGTTGTATACAGAGAGAGGGGGAAGAGATGGGCTTATATAGGAACCCCCCCCCCACACACACACACACACACACACACCTCCCGCGGGCCACGTCACCCAGAGTCTGTGATCATAGTCTATTTGTTATTCCCTACGGATAACGGGAGACCAGCTCAGTTTACAGGAAGAATGGAGCACTGATTGGTCGGAGCTCGAGCAGCGCAACAGTTGTGGCATGCACCTTTATTTTTAGAAGCTCCTTTTTGGGTGACTGAGGTGGGAGGAGGACGAGGGGGAGAGGGGAGACTGACTGATTGTTGTGAATGTGTGTCATGCATAGAGGGTCCAAGTGGATGATCAACTGGTCTAAGAAAAGAAATAGAGCAGTGAGTCCCTCTGGTTCACTAGGTTGTCATGTTACAGAGTAAAAAAATGGATAAATGTGAGATTTAAACTTTAAAATCTGTCACCAAAGTCCAAAACGTTTCAAAAGATGAGGTCACTGAGTGAACCTGACGTGTGTTTGATAGTCAGCTACCATCGCTGTGTGAAATGCATTTCTGAGTAGACAATCATAGGTCAGTTTGCTCCTTGGAGGCCAATGAGATGATGTTTTAAATCTGTATTAACGTTTAAGCTCAGATGCTATCACAACAGAATAGATGTTCTCTTTTGGCTAAAAACAAGAAACGAGGTAATGAAAGTGAAAAGGTGTCATCTTCAGGCTCTGACCGGTGACTGACATGAGTACCAGCTCAGGAAACAGTTTCTTTTGAAGAGTCAGTAAACATTGTGTTTGCTGCAGGTTCAGAGTATGTCATGTTGTGACTCAGCACTCATTGACACCAGCTGACAGCCTTGATGAAGAAATGGGAGGTAAGAATAATGGTGACACAAGCAGAAGGCTCTCTCAGGGTATTCAGTCAGATCTCAGCAGGGGGCCCCAGACTCATCATCCACATTAAAACTTAGGCTGCTCTTTCCAACTATTTTTAGCAGCTTTATTCAAGCCACGTTCTCCGTTCATGAGCCAATTTTAGTGTAAAGTTCCTGTAAATGTACTAATAGGCTTTTCAAAAGGAGTCCTGGCTTTGGGCTGAAATGTTCATCTTGCTTTTACAAACATCAAATGCAGTTACAGGACGGCCTACTGACAGGAATAAGACTATTACGGCCTTTTGAAGTTCAGTTCAACCATTTGGTACAACACATTCTAGTCAGGAAACACACACACGCACACACGTGCTTTGTACTAGTTTGTCTTAACTATAGTAACTTGCATTTTACTCTGCATGCATTAGAGGCTCCAACACAAATTATTAATATTTATTTTAGGTGCAGTCAGTTTGCATACTGATTTTCAAAGTAGGGGTAACTAATCAGATTTTATAGTATAATGTACTGTCCTTTTACCTTATTTTTTACTTTTGTTACAAAAAACAAAAATGTAAGATATTGTTCAAGTTTGCTAAAGGAATGCTATAGTTGTGTTTTAGTTAAATGATCAAAATGTCTGAGCTGATTCAAAGTCACATCTACACTTGTTATTACCCACTGTCCACAATCAAAGGGCGTGTAAATAATACTTTTGTTTTGTGTTTGAATGTCAAGGTGTAATCATTGGATAAAGGGTGTGTCTGAATCCACTGGCAGGATGCTTATGAGTACGGGTCCTCGCCAGTCTAGCAAAGCCGGGTCCTTGCTCGACCTCTAAGACCGGGACCCAGCGGCTCTGAATTCGGACAGTCTAGCCTTCACCTCTTAGGTGGCCCGTAGGTCCCATCACAGCCGTGGCAGCAGCTACACGCAAAGGAAAAATGCTAAAGCTAGCGAAAATCAAGCAGGAATATTTAGGAGCTACAGCAGCTTCACATCCATCAGCAGCGTTTGTTCACAACCCTTTTCAGTAAAGTAATTTTGTTTATTTTAGAAGTTTTCAGGACTTACATGTTAACTTTAGATGGCTTCATGTATGTTTTAAGCTACAGAATGAACTTGTTAAACATACACAACACATTACTACAGAGTATTATTTTGTAGGTAATTAATATAAACCAAATGCATTATAAATGTTAAATGCAGTAGGATGTTTTCTAATGTAAATTGGACCTTAGAACTTCTTATTTTGCATCAAATGGGGTAAAATGTTTTAAAAAACAGGCTTTTAAATAAAATAGCATTGAAGTGTTTTCAATGTGCATTTATTTATTCAACTTAAGCCTAATAATGATTAGATCTGTTTTAAAAATGTAAATTATCTGTAGTTTTTATTTAACTATTCCCTGCTGCTTTTCTTTAAACTGAACAGAACCAATTAACTGCAGGTTATAGGTTTGTTTAACATTTTTCAATTAAAAAACTCTTTTTTTAATCTATTACAGGTCAGCATGCACTGTGCTGCACATCTGCCTCTGTGCTGGTGAAGTTCTGGGCCTGGAGGATGAGCCTGAGGAAGATGTGTGTGGAGGAGGTCAGCGGTGCTCTGTCCTGCAGGAGGTACCAGCAAACCACCACCACTGTTAATAGCAGGGGCGGGGTTAGGCCCGGCTTCTTGGGCTCAAGCCCCAAATGTTTTATGAAAAGCCCCGGATCTAAAATGTGGAAGTAACATGCAATACCAAAGTCCAACAGAGAGGGAGCAGCTGGCAGTAGTTTGTATACAGCCTGCCTGAGCCTCCACCACTGAAGAAGCCCTTCAGCAGCCGGCTTCTTCTACAGTCTCTGCCTGAAACGCATGAGTGAAGATGGACATAAGGACGTTTTTAGACCAAAAGTACGGCGACAGAACCCCAGCTTTGATGAGACTGGTGCTGACTCAGGTTTGTGAGTCTTATTTGAAAATATTTGTTGTGCTGCTGGTTTGCCTAAAGTTAGCTTACTATCAGGTAAAATTGTTGGAGAAAGAAAGGCAATATTTACTATCATCTCACACTAAACACTAACAGGAACAATACTCTGCCCTGAAAATGCTTAATATGTAGCTTCAGATTAAAAATTATGTGGTAAAAGACAAATATATAAGATGTTGACTAGTGCGTGTCGTGTGTGTGTGTGTGTGTGTGTGTGTGTGTGTGTGTGTGTGTGTGTGTGCGTGCGTGCGTGCGTGCGTGCGTGCGTGCATGCGTGCGTGCGTGCGCGTGTGTGTGTTTGTGTTAAGCACCGGATCTTCTTCAGTCCTAAATCTGCCCCTGGTTAACAGGTAAGTCATTTATGTAGGAACCTCTATTAAAAACAACACTGTCGTTTTTTTTTTTTTTTGTTTGTTTTTTTTGCTGAAGATTCACAATTGTTATACCAGTGGATACATAAACCATCTCCTCATTTCATATTTCTGAATACATCTTAGAGATGTAACAGCCGTCGTCTGAGCCAGCCCAGCAGTCCCTGTAGATGGACGATGGAGTGGACAGTGAGAGGAAGCGTCCCAAAGCTCTCTCTGCAGACCGTCCTATATGATGTTCCTCTGACCAGAAACTTTCAGCCACGGGTCTGCTCCAGCCCTCCATCCACGTCTGGATCCTCCTGCAGCAGATCCAGCTGCATTCCCTAAGAATTCCGGCTCACTCCGTTTAAATAAATGATCCAGGAAGAGTCACTCAGGTTAATCCTGCTTTAACCGTACATAACTGGTCCATACTGGTTTTGATTTGTAAATAATTGGAACGTATTATAAATAATCTTGTCTCCTTACCATCTTTTCATTTTCTGTTCATGTAACTTGTTCAAAAACATCTATAATAATAAAACTGGTGATAAAATTAATGACCAGAAAGAGTTATCAGTTAGTATTTGTTTTAATAAACGTGTTCAAATATCAAACAGCTAAATAACATTAACATAATAACAGTAGAAGGCCTCTGTCCCAGGAGGACCACCAGGTAAAGCCTCTTCTGACCCTGGACACCAGCAGTCCTAAACAGAGAAAATCAGAGACCACGGGTTGACAAAAAGGCAACAAACACATTTTTACATTTATCCACATGAGAGGATTAAAATTATATTCCTCACACAAACTATGTTTACTTCATTAAAACATGTCAGATGTGTAAATCCCTAAATGTAAAACTACTTTTCACAGCAGAACACAGAAATATCTTTAAAACGGTCCATTTACAGATGCAGACTTAATACTTTTATTAAGCGATCTCAATCCCAAGTCATTTACAAAACAGAGCTAACAGATTCCCTGAGATTGTCTAATATTGTGTGACATCTTGTGTAGTTTTATTTTAATTTTTTTATAGATTTGACCAAAACAGCTCTAATTCCATGACCTGAAATCTAGACTATCATCTGCTGAAGCAAAACTATTTTGCTTTGCAATGCTCCAGCTAGTATTGTGTCTGCCCAATCACAGCGCGTTTATTTAGAAAAACAATGGGTGTTTCTCAATTTCAAGGCACCTTACCTCCCAATCAGATTCAATCAGTCAATCAGATTTATTTTTATAGCACCTTCAACCACTTTAGAAGGGGCTAAATGTCCTGAACATAAGAACAAGGATAAAAAGAGAATAAAAATAGTAGGAGATAAATAAGTAAAAGCAATTAAAAACCATGCAGTACAAAAATAAAATATAAGTAAATGTCAAGGGTGGTGGGGAAAGCTAACAGATAAAAGTGAATTTTCAGGTGAGACTTGAACTCCTGCAGAGAAAGAGTTTGCTTCACTGCCAGAGGGAGCTTGTTCCAAAGGGTTGAAGCCATTACCGAGAAGGCCCGATCACCCCTAGATCTGAGTTTAGAGCTGGGGACTTCCAGCAACTCCTGCTCAGCAGAGCTAAAGGCCCTAGAGGGGACATGCCACTGTAACAGTGCAGCCAAATATGGGGGAGCACTGCCCTGCAGCACACTGAAGACATGGAGGAGGACCTTAACTGTTGCCCGATAATGCACCGGGAGCCAGTGCAGAGAAGTTAACACTGGGGTAATGTGGTCCCTCCTTCAAGTTCCAATCAGAAATCTGGCAGCAGAGTTTTGGACTAGCTGAAGCCGTGCAGTTGCAGCCTGACTCAGCCCCAGCATACAACATATTGTAGTAGTCAAGGCTGGACATGATAAAAGCATGCAGTACTGTTTCCAAATGTGCTCTTGGCAAGAACATTTTTATCTTGGATAGTCATCTCAAATTAAAGAAACATGCCCGAACAACCATGTATATTTGTGCATCGAATTTAAGGGCCACATCAGTTTCCACCCCCAACATTAGTGACCACATTCTTCTCATGTGCCAAGGAAGCAAGATCAATCTCTCCACCTGCTCCAGCTTTTTCACCAGGGCCTATGCCTGTTACTGTATGGCAAACACCACGGCCTAAATACCTTGCTTATCTGGATACTGTCTTTCCTTGGTCAAAGAAAACAGTTAAATGGAACAGACTTGCCTCACGTGACAGCGGTTCTGGGAGCCACGGTCACGTCATGTGACTCATGAGATAAAGTTATAATTTATACGTATATGTTTCAATATATATGTATATTGAGCCTTTTACACCCAGTGTATCTTGGTCTTCTTCCCTGCTTCTTCCACGATGTATGGTGGATTGCTCTGTTGACTGACATTCGTAGTGGGCCAATCAAAGCGCTCTGTCAGGTGGGCGGGAATGTTAGTGCAACTTAGTGAAACTAAGGGTGTTTCTCAATGTCAAGGAACCTCACCTTCATGTCTTGGTCCTGCCCCAGTTGACTGGGAGATACATCTTCAGGAACCACCAAAGCATGGTCCAGTGTTCATGTTCTATCAAGGCATCTGTTCTATGTTTGTTAGCCTTTAGCTAGCTGACCAAGGATGTATGAGAGATGCCTTGTAGCCTGGCCTTGGTCACGAATTTCCCTGAATACAGAGCAGCATTTTAAAAAGAATGGCAGCTCAAATTTCCAGTTTAAATGTGGGTCAACTAATTGTAGCTATCAGGCTGATCTAAATGTTTTTTATATATCCAAAGTTATCTATGGCTGGTTAGTTGCTTAGTAGTTGCAGCTTCGGTGGCTAGCAGGTACTAACTTGATTACATATTTAATTTAACTAATATATACACAATTATAAAAGTAAAAGGCTCATTATACATTTACATTGAAACTTAGACATTTTAAAATATAACTACCTTACGAGTGACATGGCTGCTGTGGTCGTGATGCAAGTCTGTTCCATTTAACCAGTTTCTTTGACCAAGGAAGGACAGTGTCCTCGTAAGCAAGGCACCTGGCCTCGCAAGACATCGCCTTGCGAGGCCAGATGCCTTGACATTGGAAACACCCTAAAATGGCAACGACAGCATAGCAATCCAATCACAGCAATCTGTTAGTGGGCAGGATGTTACTGTATGGTGGACTGCCCCTTTGACTGACATCCATAGCGGTCCAATCTAGGGTTGCAAAGATTAACCGGTTTGACTATTAACCACGGCGTGAAACACTGCGGTTAACCCACCGTAAAGATGTCTCCAACATTGCAAAAAATAAATAAATTTATCAATTAGTGGACCAAAGTAAGAATGCACACAGCAAAACCAGCGTCAACAACCACCGGGATTTCTACGTTTCTCCCTAGAGGGGATATTTCAGTATCCCAAATATGCTAAAAGAGAAATTCAGAATGATGGCTTATCCATCTGTAGAGCCAGCAAAAATAAAAGTTAAGACACTCCCAATTTATCATCTCTGAGATCATCACGCAGACAAATTATCTACAATTTAGTCAGATTTTAATAGTGACTGAACGGATTTAAAGGTAATATTGAACAATCGGGTGAACGACAATTTTTTACTGTGTTGTTCTATGTTTCCCCCTGTCTGTCTACAACAAGGCAGTATGGCAAGCCATTTTAATAATTCATCAACAACACCTCTCTGTAATTCCTGTTCTACATACAGTGGCAATAATATAATTTATCCTTGTTGAAATAACATTCTTACTAATGAAATTTGAAAATATACAAACAAATAGAAATGACATTTAAGTAATAAGTAATATACATGATAAAAACTGCACTAGTAGGAATTTAGTAGCCTGGCCTGCCAGACTCGTCCTCTGATTCTGAACAGAAAAAGAGTCTGGTAACTCACAGGCAGAGAGGCAGAAGAGAGGCGGGACTAGGCAGCTCAAAAATAACCAATCAGAAAAAAGACATAAATGCCGACTGTACCGCACGACACTGTAGTTTTTTAGCTGTAGTCAAAAATAGCGTCTGGCAACAGCGCAAACAATTTTCTTTAGAAGAAAGGCTTTTAGCGTATCTACTTCTTGCTTTAAAGACATGTTCAAGTAATTTAGAACAGAGGAATGAGACGCAGTGAACTCCGCTTCAGTCGCCATGTTTATGACAAACTCGGCGTTGCGGTGTGTAACGTACCATACTCAGCGCTGATTGGCTCGGTTAGAATTCTCATGGGGTGGTGTTATTTGAATAGGAGTGTTCCCAGACTCTTTATCTGTGCGGTATTAAACAGAGGAGGAGTCTGGCAGGCCAGGCTAGGAATTTAGCTTCTTAATTCATATAATCAGTCACTGAGATTTTAATGCAGGATGCACATGAAAATGGTCTCCTACATCTGTGTCCTGCATTGGCTTATGGTAGAAAATAGATGGTGAAACTCTAGGATTAGAAGAGCCAGACAGATCTATGTCACACTGTCACTTAACATTCATGGACTCACCCATCTTGACACACAACGAGGAAGGCTGTTATTGGTTTAGTGTCCAGTAAACAGCAGAGAACGTCTCCACTAGTAGAAGCTAACTGTTAGCATTAGCAACTCCACCACACAGCAAAACTACTCCGGGCTTGTGTTATTTGTGGAGGTAAAATCTATATAGCAAATCAGTAGTAGAGTTAACTTTTCTCAGCAAAATCCCTGAAAAGTAACAAATGATATTTCAAGGGTTCGAAACCTTTATAGAAAGTAATCGTGCCTTTTATCAATAATTTATACAATGTGTGTGTGATTTATAAATGTGAATACAAATGTGAAATAAGTTCTTGAAAAATAATCTTGGTAATCTTGAAACCGTGATTATTTCTCAGACTAAAATCGTGCCACTAAAATGTATAATTGTTGCAACCCTAGTCCAATCATAATGCTCTATTGGTTGAAACGGCTTTGGCATCAATTTTGGACTTTTTAGACTTGGGCTTGTCTTTGAGTCAAGAGCAGATAGAGGTACTTAAGTTTCATTCCAGGATTTTGCAGCATAAAATGATCTAAGATTAAAAGGCAAGGCGTATTCCTTCGAGGATGGTAGACCTTTAATATTTACTTGTTCCAATTAGTAAATATTTTTTGGTAAAACAAAGCAACATTTTACTTCACTACTCTGAGTTTTTGTGTGATTTTATAAATATTAAAATGTGTCACATTGCACCAGATGAATTAAAGTGTGTGTGGATCTCTAAAAACTCGTCACAGAGCTACCTCTGTTGACCTGAACAGTTGACATTAAATCTCTCTAGACCACCCACGGCTGCTTTCACAGTATGCTTTTCACCTTTTTAATTAGCTTTTTCCCCGTTAGCCCATCAGCTGAATATATTAAATATTTAAGAAGGGATTTGGGGTAAATTTGCTACACAGATAGGATTGAGGCCAAAGGCAATTTGATTAGGCTACTTAGACTCTTTTTAATCCTTTAGCTGTAACTCTCACTGAATGAGACAGGAGCCTGATGCAGGATCCTGGGGGAGTCTTTCTAGACTTGGGAAACTAATATAAAGTAACAGAAGGTGAAGCTTTTTACACAAAGCTATACAATCAGGGTACTTTTGGATAATTAGCTGCACCTAATCTTAGTAAACCATGAGTTGTGGCGATGCAGTAATGAGTATAGTTTTAGAGGCCTCATCAGCCATGTCGACACACCAGTTCCTCTGCAAGGAAACAGAGTCTCTGGGATCACGTCACGTCTCTGAAGGGGGAGTTATTAATATCCGCACAACCACTGTAACGTGACGCCAGCATGGAGATAGTTGAATGTTTTCGTGAATGGGGCTCCCCAAGACTTTAAACCCTGCGATCATCAGTGAGGCCAGCACCAAGAAAAGAAAGCTCTCTGACACCAGGCTGGTTGGTCATATTTATTTTCTCAAGTCATTTGCAGTGCAAAATAGACCTCCGGGTAACAAAATAGCTACAACTATATTGAAAGCGTTATAATCGACAGGTAAAGCAGCAACACTGTGCAACATAGAGGCTTCTAGTCATGAAATTAACTCCAAATTTAAGAGAAATAATGACTTTTGGTTATGGAGGATTTATTTTTATGATTTTTATTTCAAGTTGATTAATAATTTACATTTGGGGTCCTGTGGCATCTTCAAAGTTCACATAACGAAATATTTCTGACTATTACGGTTTTGTTGAATGTCAGTGTTAGAGAACGTTTCTGACTCGTTTCTGAAATTCAACAGACTGGAAAAGTGACCGTCAGCTATGGGATGGCTTCACTGTTTACTGAACATTGGTTAGAAACACTTGTAACTCTTCGGAATAAAGTCGCCATTAATTTACATTTACACACATTTTGTAATTTGGCTATCAAATATACGAAGCTCTTTCAAAATAGAATAAAACTTTCTACAAAGCAAGTACAAATGGATCTAAGGAAAAATCTCTCCCATAAGTACTATGTGTCACATTTATTTACATGAAAAGTAACAAATAATAAACATAAACAATCTACTTCTGTTTTTAACATGCTTTTTAAAATATGATTGTTACATCCAAAAGAACATTTCACAGATGTGAACAACACAAAAGATTTGACAGACACCTTCCTAAATACATAAACCAGCTGTGTTCATGCTCCTGGTTTGATTCATTCATTCATTCATCTAGAAGCTGTGTACCTTTATGAAGGTCAAGAATATTTCCCTACAATCATCTTGAAGTCACTCAAACCCAGGAGGAAAGTAAAGCATCTTTAAATGAATGTGACATGAAAAGATCAAGATTTCCTCCCAAAGTTGTAATTTTTACAACCAGATAAACGATGCAGTGAAGAAGCAAGTTAGGACGGGCAAGAACGTTAGCTAACTAAAGATGAAGAGGAGTTGATTCCATCCCAGAGGCTACATGCAGAAAACAACATAATTTGCTAACCCCTACTTCACACTGGAAGCATCAGCAGAGCTGAGCGGCAACAGAACGATTTGCTGGCGGCTTTTGCTGCGGTCCAGTATAAATCGGGAGAATTTTGGCCGCGGAACAGCTTCCTCGCTGGACTCGCGAGATCACAAAATCTCTGGAGTTTACGCCATCTGCCATTAAACTAAAAATCATGTTTGTTGGTAACACTTTATAATAAGTGCACACTATTAAGCATTAGCTGCACTTCTGGAACAATACTGGGGGTAATTAAGTCGTTAGAGGTCACATGTTTTGATTTGTCAAACATAGCGGTTTTACACTGAAATTGTATGTGATTTCCTTTCTAGCCCTATGTTAACTGTGGAAATTTCCGTGTCACAGAAGCGGCACATGGCAAAAATAGAACCAATTTTTTAAATTCTTTAGCGGCACAGCGAGCCGCTTCTGGGACGCACCTGAAAATTTCCACGTCATGGCTGGCTTGAATCACCGCCATAGACTATAATGGATTCTAATTTGAAGCAGTGATGTTCTGCTGTCGTTCCACGCCACTGATGCTTCCCGTGTGAAGTAGGGATTAGTGTGGGTTAGCAGGTATTGAGTTCATCGCACCCGTACGTCATTAACTGTGTTTGCATGCAAATAAATAAATGAAAGAGTAAAACCTGCAGAGTGACATCACTTTGTGACTCAGTCTAATCATCTGAGGTCAGAATCTGCTGGTTTCTTGGGTTCCGTCTGAACTTTCATCATTACCCGTGAGCAAAAGTTCAACAAACATGACAAATAAATAAAGATTAAATAAACTAAAACCTATTCAGTAAGCATTAACAAACCTTTTGTCACATTGTTAGAAGAGAAAACAATCACTGACCCTAGAGGAGGAATGACACACCACTTTACATTTATTCGACACGTTGTTCTTTTAATGTGGAGGCGGCAGGTCAGCTCATTGTCACTGATGCTCTCGTGTTGTTCTCGTAGTACCGTAGACTCGTTCTGTCATGCTGCCAGATAAATATCTTCAGTTTAGTCTGTGGATGTGGCAGGAGGGAACGATGGCTGGTCTGAAGCAGACGTCCATCCACGTGCAGTTGCAACCCATCTGGTCAACATCTGACGAAGGCTCTGAGGAAGCTAGCCATCGCTAGCAGCAGTGCTGTGGCTGCAGTAAGAGTCACAATGGAGTTCCAACCTACCTCAATCCCCTGAGGGAAGACATGAAAAGAGCAGCATTTACATCTTCTGCTGATGAATTGTGCAACAGCCTAATAAAAAGTAGATCAACATTTAAAATCAAAAGGAGTTTGTTGAAATAAATATCAGCTGAGTCAGCATTTAAATGTTCCTTTTGTCTCCGCTGGTGAACAGCTCATCACTCTCGCCAAAGCCACAACTTCTATTTAACCTGAACAAACATGAACAAATGTGCTGTTTTGTGAGCTTAAATGAGCATTTGTTACGAGTTTTAGTTAATTTATTTTTTTGTGCTTCAGAGTCTCAACTCCAGACCAAGGGATGCTCCTCTAACATTTCCTCATGGCTTAAGATTTCTGTTTCCCATCCACACATCAGTGGTAACCATTGCTGTTACTGCTGCCCAGTAGGACAGGATACAGATTACCTTTTAGGCATAGTTGTATTAATCCTGAGTAAAATATATTTCATCACATACTGTTCTACGTGTTTTTTCTTCTGAATTTTGAAAATGTCGTCACTAAAGTTTTTCAAATGTTTATTTTTGGAAAAAAAAAACCTAGATAATTATTCAGTAATTCATCATCCTATCTGCCTATGCCTCTCCAGGGTAGCAGGGAATTTTAACCTGCAACCTCCTTGCTGCAAGGCAACTGTGCCACCATGCAGCTTCTTAGATAAATATCCTAGGAGATGGTTTAAATAGTCAAAAATATAATCTAATTTCTAACCAAACAGAACCCAAAGCTAGGTTCTGCACTATAAATAGAAACCAAAACATGCATCTATAATGCTTTATGGCAGGAATTATAAACATGACATGGATCTTTAATCTTTGATGAACTGTTTTTCACCAGAAAGTTTCATTTTTAACTTTGCTTTTCTGTTCAGACGTTATTTTGCTTTATTTATGTCAAACTGCCCACCTGTCCCATCATGTAGACCTTCAACATTCAGTGCAGCAAATTGAAAAACTTTTAAAAACAACAAATCATGCAAAAAGTGCTTTTTTTTTCCAGTGTCCCACTTATTTTACCATCAAAGTGAAGACAACTTTGTTTGCTTTTAAAACTTTTGTTCATTCTGACTCTAACAGATGACTATTTATTTTGTTTATTCAGTAAAAGTTTGTGTTATTTATACAAGTGTGTTAATTTTGTGAATAAAAAGCAGGTGTGCATGAAAAAATGAGGAGTTCCTCTCATACCTTGCTCTCTGGGACGCCAACTCCGACAACCAGCACCAGACCACAGCCACAATTATAATCATTCCTATGAAGGGGATGGAGAGAACAGGGTGCTCAGATGGATGGATGAATCTCTGAGGAGGGAACGGAAACAAACACAAACACCACGTAGATGAGGGATGAGTGAATGAACAAAAAATTATAAAAACAAACACATTGAGCTGTGACAAAAATCCATAAACTAAAATGGGATATGATTCATGACGATGATTTATTGGGAGATGAATGGTTTATTTTTCCTTTTGAACCACTGATGCATAACTTATTAAAGACATAAACATCATCTCAGTGTGAGTGTGAGTGTGTGTGCAGGACTGTGTGGCATTTGTGGTCAGCCTGCGACAGCAGGAAAAACAAAGACACCCAGTGTGAATGTAGCGACTAGCATGTGAAGGCGTTAAAATCTCTGTCTCCTCATCGTGTTGCTCATTTGGTTTTATGACCAAATCTGTCGCTGGACAGGCTGAGAGGTCATGGACATTCAGAGAACAAGGACAGCACCAGAGACAGGCACAGGTGGACAGTTTGACACAACGCAGACACATCTGGCTGTTGCAGACAAATGCATTAACAGATTTGCTAGTAGAGACTTTCCGCTGACCTTTTATCTGAAATGAAAGCATATCTTTGAGATTAAATGATAATTAATCTATCTGACTGACATGACACATAAAGTGTTCATTATTCTGGCTTCTGTAAGCATCACATGGTAGATTTTTAGAAACAAAAACAAAACAAGAAAAGCTGTCTTGACAATAATTTAAATTGTGTGGTTTGTAAATTAGGAAGACATAAACTTCTAATTAAAACACAGATCCTGTTAGATTTGTCATTAATGTAGGAGTCTGGAAGCTCCTTTAATAAACTTTTCTGACATCTGCATTTAACAGCACAGTATACTTTATCTTTTCCATGTCTGAGTATTCAATTATAGATTAGTGTTTTGGTCCACCAGCGGTAATAAAGCATCGTCACAGCAACAGTC